TACTGCATTAAAGACAAGGGTAGAGTCTCTGTTTTACTGATAATGCTCCAAGTTTTCTTTTTTCCTCCAAATTACGATAGAGCTTCCTGCAAGCTAAGCAGCCATTGCTTTATTGCTATATAGTGACATACCAAACTAGTAAAGCGTCAAGCAGTAAGTACAAGAAGAACCATGAGCTGCCAAAATAACAGGAAATTGTTTTTTTTATTATTTTATTGGTAACTTTTAAGTCCTGCCATCAGTTTTTCAGAAACGATTGTGACATAGATAACAACCACAAGCTGGCTGTACTCTAAAGTTAGTTTTGCCTTTATAAGCACAATCACTTAGAAATTTGGGAAAGGGTCTAAAAAGGACTTCATATATCTTTAAGTATATATAGATATCCATGTAGACAGATGTATAGATGTCTATACATGTATATTTTGAAAGAGCCCAGCGTAGAGCCACAAAGGTGATTAAGGGGGTGGAACATCCCCCTTACGATGAAAGGCTGAGGGAGCTGGGTCTCTTTAGCTTGGGGAAGAGGAGACTGAGGGGTGACCTCATTAATGTTTATAAATACATAAAGGGTGAGTGTCAGGAGGATGGAGCCGGGCTCTTCTCGGTGATGGCCGATGACAGGACAAGGGGCAACGGGTGCAAGCTGGAGCACAGGAGGTTCCACACTAACATAAGGAAAAACTTTTTCACTGTGAGGGTGACAGAGCACTGGAACAGGCTGCCCAGAGAGGCTGTGGAGTCTCCTTCTCTGGAGACATTCAAAACCTGCCTGGACGCGTTCCTGTGTGACCTACTCTGGGTGGTCCTGCTCTGGCAGGGGGGTTGGACTGGATGATCTTTCGAGGTCCCTTCCAACCCCTAACATTCTGTGATTCTGTGTGATCTATCTATCTATATTTACATATAGATATATGAAGCACTTTGCTCCATCCTAAACTCCCACCAGAAGTGCTTTCATACTGAATCTGGTGTCACGCAAACAAGTGATTTCACATCTGGCACAATGGATGGGGTGTAAACCTCTGGCGTAGAGAAGAGTTTAAATGCACCCTTGAGGCTGGCACCTAAAGCAAAACAGAAGCTTCCCCCAGCCTGCTAAAGCTGATCTGCTTTAGGAGGTCTCCATCCGTCCCCTTGCAGCTCCTTGCCCCCCTCAGCCCCATACAGTGCCGAATTACTGTACGCTCTGAAGTGATGTTTGCACGCTGCTGTGGTAACAAGAGTTGGCAGGTCAGTTACCATTTCAGACCCCTTCTCTAACCCAGCTACACTGGATACTAGTGTCAGTGAGGCAGTAAGAGCTGGGACTCTGCAGCCCCACCAGGGCCGCGGGATTTGCCAGCTGCTGCAGCCCCGTTGCTGTGGGCTTGCTGTTCCCCACACCTCGCTCCTGGCTGCCCCAGAGGCACCGATGCCACAGCAAGCACCCCTCAGCTGACCTTCAGCTGCGTCAAGGGCAGCACCAGCCACGCCTGGGGTTCACTGAAGAAGTGACATTGGAAGAACTGCAGAATTGGAAAGCCCCGCTTTCTCAGAATAAGGCTGTGGGGCACCCCTGCTCTGTTACTACCTTTGGTGTATCTCAGCTAACCTGTTGTGGGCTCATGTATGAACCTGCAGCTACCTTCTACCTGGGCCGTGATCTTAAAAGCTCATGAAAAGGAGCAAAGGCTGCTTTACACCCCATGACCCAACCTTTGACAGCCTACAGCCCAGACTTTGGGGTCAGGACACTTCCCAGCCGTGTCCTGTTGACACAGATGCAGCAAGGACCAGCTGGCTCTGGGTCAGGGGACATTTGGCTTGGTGTGGGGCACATAGTGACTGCAGCGTGGTGCTGCTCTGCCCCTGGGCAGGGGCTGTGGCCAGGCAGAGGTGGCTCCAGCTAGCTCTGAGCCTGCAGACACTCCTCTGGGCCACTCAGGCTGGGCTAATTCATAAATAAGTGATGGCGTCGTTCAGGTCATATGGAATGTTTACGTTTGGAAAGCTGAGATAGTCCTTGCGGAATATTGGGATGTATTGTATTTGGTTAAATAGAGGCCTGGAGGATGTTTGTCACTGACTAACACAGCAGAAAGAAATGCAGGAAAGACAGTTACAAGTTCAGGACATGCTCTGCAGCCTGTTACGCTCCTGCTCTCACAGAATCTCCACACTGAGAAAATGGTTTAAGGGAACTGCCCCATCGGGCAGCTGCAGGAAGGCCTGGAACAATGGCCAGCGCAGGAAGGATGTCGCAGGTGGGTGCGGCACGTTTGTGCCAAGGTGCAGAGCAGAAGAGAAGTTGCCACAGCTCCAGCAGACACCAGATATTTTAACTTTTCAGTCAGTATGTTTTGAAAAGCATCCCGTGGATGACTGCAGAGCTGAGGAGTAAGACTGCTGGCAGGCTGTGTTAATGCTGGGTGGTTTTACACTGTAAAGGTGATATTTTATGGCCTCTTCACTTCAAAGGTGAGAAGTAAAAGAGGCTGAAGTGAAAAGGGGAGTGGAGATTAGCACTGCTTTTGGGAGATTAGGAGTGAAGGTTGAGGGCAAGACTGAAGAAAAGCTGATGCAAGGGGTTAGGGAGTTCGGATTTTGAGAGAAGAGGGTGTTTCTTGGGAGCAGTGGGCTGATGGTCTCTCTAGGCACAGCAGCTGCAGGGCAGCAGTGGTGGGGATGAGGCGAATCTGTGCCCCAGCACAGCTGCTCCCCCGCCCCCTGGTGGAGGGGTGGCACAGCAGCTGGAGCTTGGAGGTCGAGTCTCGATCCTCTCAGCTCACCCCAGGCGTCTACCCCAACCCAACAGAGCTGCTGGAAGCCTCCGTGTATCCCTGCCAGAGCAGCAATTAGTGCAGAATACAGCTCAGGCTTTTGAGGTGTACATCAGGGAAGAAGGAGTGTATAGCAGAACAGATAATTCACAACCAAGAGGGAAATCAAAAGAACTTTTCAGGCACGTGAGGCCAATAGGAAACCAGGCAGTGTTAAGATGCCACTGAGCCAGGACACTTTTTTTGCTCATACACTGTTGCGGTTCTGCTACCGGTAGGAGTTACTTCGTGGTCAGCATGGTACTAGTCAGTTACTGGGTTTCGTTTTCCACAGTTGATATTCAGCTACCCTCTTTCACGAGTATCAAAGCTACTTAAGTGGCAGAAAAGTAAATAAAGCCTTACCACAAAGTCTGTGCATAAGCAATGCTAAATATCACTGGCTTTTGCCACTACTATTATATATCACATTTAGGAGACCAGTTCCAGAGGTAACTGGTGTGGGAGCGTGGAGCAGATGGCCTAACACGCTGTCCTTTGCCAGTGGGTTATGAGCTTGATACGATCGTGAATACGTAGTAAGGTAGCAGGCACGTTGCCCTTCTGAGGGCTGAAAAGGTCTTGGCTAAATCCCAGCAAGACAGAAGGGCAAACCTCAGAGCAGATCTCACCATGGTAAAAATTGAGACCCTTCCTTCTGTTATTTGAAACATTTTCTCTGATGCAGGCCAACAGTGACTTGGAAATAATACGTACACCTTCACTAAGTCTTCTGAATTATTCCTAGGTTATTTTTGTCTGGTTTAAATTGGTTGAATAGCTATGGGCTCATTCTGCTGTTACTTTGGTGTTTGCAAGCTTTCAGATTCACTGCATATGCCCTTGTGTTCATATTTCTATTTGTGACTTTCTCTAAGTTTCACAGGATGTAGCACATCTCCAAAGATTGCTATTCATTATTTAAAACCCACTGAACTGGAATCCAAACTCTATCCATTCTCTGTTGGCCTTTATTTATTTTCCATTCATAAACTTCTATCGAGTAACGCCAGGCGGCATTCAGGCAGCGCGGCAGCCAAGAGGTGAAGTAAGCCATTCACAAACACGTCGCAGGCTGATAGTCACCCGTAGACACTGGTTGGTGAATCATACTGAGCAGCGAATACATCCTGAACATCAGGATCCTTTCTCATGCTGAAGGAAGTGTTGCAATTTTACTCATTTGATCTGTGTGTTGCTCTCTGGAGGCTTTCATCCCAACATGTTTCTTTTTACAACAGTTCAGGGATGTATTACGAAATCTGGAATTCTGCTAAATTCAAGCAGACTTCTTGCTGAGTGTGACATTTAGGATCTTAATTCTGCAACAAGATATGGCAAACATATGGCCACATAGCAACACACTAAAATGTGAATTTACTTCAGGTTGCAAGAAGAATCCTACCCATGAGTATCCAGGGCTCTGCTTGGATAACGCAGGAGCACGCACAGTGCAGCTGTAAGTGGAGGGAGACTGCAGCTACACAGGGTTTTCCTGTCACCTCTGCAGCCTTATAAGCCCATTTGTGGGTGGAAGTGCAGAGTTACAGCCAAGGGCAAAAGATTTTGCCTATGGGTGAATCTTACCATATTAGTTATAATGTGACTTTTGCCTGGATAATGGCAAGTGCCAGGGACAGGGTGAGGAAAGAGATATAAACCTCTTCACTATAAATATTTCTTGTTGAAAATATCCTGGAAGAAATATTTCTGGGAGTCTCAGTTTCACCCTTTTCTTAACCCTGTTTGGTATTGCTTAGATGGCAGCGACACCCTGTGGGGGCCCCAGCCGCTGGTGCAGCACTCGGCAGTAGCTCGCTCATGGAGTCAGTGAAAGATGGCAATACAAAAAAGTCCAGGGTTGCTTTTAATTCGTCTTCACAGACCGCATCCTCCCTGAGTGCCTTTGCACTTGCAGGCATTATCTTTCTGGATTTAAATGTCCTGGAAGTAGCTACTGCCTCTTTCTGAGCATTTGTGGAGTGCCTGCTGCATGGTGAGTCTCTCTGATTCCACTCACATCTCTTGGCTTTACGGGAAGAGGAATCAGCTGTAGTAACAAACCAGTATTGCATCATGGTGCATCTTTGCTACATAACTTAGTGAAAATGCTTGCTGCCTCTCTGCTTGCCTCAGTGAGCAAGGAAAGCTTGTGGTTGGAGGGGACAGTGCTCAGCTTGGGTATTTTCTCTCTTTCAGGGGGTTCACGAGTCGAAAGGTGTGACTGAAGATTATTTGAAACTGGAGTCCCTGATCCAGAAAGTCGTTTCTCCTTACTTGGGCACATATGGTCTGTATTCCAGTGACGGACCCTTCACGCACTCTTCCTGTATCTTGGGTAAGAATAATAGAGGCTCGATTTGACGCAGCATAGAGGGCTTCACCAAAACCTTGGTCCACACAGGGTCAGGGCCCACATGAGAGGTGACAGCCAGTACTATCGCAATGCAGTCAGGCTCCTTTTCTCAGGTTGTGCTCTTTGCAATGTGCAAAGTCACCGTGAAACTTGCCAGTGGCAGAAGACAAAACCAGATCATCTTAACAGTGCTCATTAATATGTGAATCTAGATTGTGCTTAGCATTTCTATTCTACCTTTTAATGAGAGAGCTTTAACACAGGATGCTTTATGGACAGTGAGAGGAAGAAGCGAGAAGCCATTTATTTCTAGAGTACTGAGTAGTGTCTGTTCATTTGTGCACAAAGATCGTACAAGGCTGTTTAGAGCAGGTGAGAGTAGGAATTTGCCTTAGAGAAGACTAACCGATAAGCCTTCAAACATGTAAAAGCTTTCTGCACAGTGGAAGGTAATAAGCTGTTCTCCATCCCACTGGAGATAAGAAAAATAGAGTGGACCACACACAGCAGGGGAAATTCGATTACATGGAAGGAAGAATCTCTCATGTCACATAAACCACCTCTGGAGGCTGTGGAATCTTCACTGCTAGAGGCACTATATACATCACATTCATAGGCATCCGTAAGCATCAAGGTGGGTAAACGTGGTCCGGCCTGGTAGCAGAGGCTGAGTGACCATCTTAAGTTCCTTCCAGCTTATTTTCTATGATTCTTTGAGCTCTGAAGCATTCAGTGACTTCTGTGAAGGCAAGATTTGGCCAAGATGAAGGTCTTTTGAATATCCCACATAGTAATTCAATCTGTTGAAAATGCAAGGGGGATACTACCAGTGTAAATCAAAAAGGAAATGTGGTAGTACCTGAGTATTTTTATGTAAATGCTGTGACGACCTGCTTGAATAGCAAAAACAGAGGGGAAAATAAGCTCAATTGTGTGTTTTCTATACAGTCAATTTAATCTGTTTGCTTGTCAGAAATGGTCAATAAGGTAGTTGATTTTCCCTTGAAGCTGAATGGAAAAATAGTTGTATTGCAGTAGGCATTTAAGAAACAGTTTTACATGAATAGATAGAGGCCAGTTATTTATGGAAAATGGTTCAGGATTACTACTTTGTATTCATTGCTTGCCATTAAAAGGCCACAAGCATTTAAATGGAGCCCCAAACTGAGGTTTTGTGAATACAAGCTTTTGTATGTCAGGACAGAAAAAAAATGTACTCAAAGGGAATAAACTCCAGTGAAATGGATCATTAGAAAATAAATGTTGTATTTAACTTCATGACTGCATTTAACAGCATGACTGCAGAAGATAGGAAGGGTTGGCGGACCAGACACTTCCCCTTGCTGTAGTCTGGGGTGTAGATATGTAGCAGTACCCCTGAACAGGTCTTACCATAGTCAATGAACCTGGATACGAGGGACCTGAGTGCATAAATCTCTGCTGCTTTTAAACTAACACATCTAATTATGTCCAGCTATTTTGGTAGCATGATTTAAAGCTGTGACATATTGTCCTTGGGACTGGTGAGGCCACTGACCTCTTTTCTTCCCTGTTTGGCCAGCACACCCAGCCTTCCCTTCCAGCTGAGCCTTGGTGTGACCAAAAAGCCAGAGTTTCTGAGGCAGTGTAGCCCCAGGGAACCTTTTCTGTTTGCCAGGTCAAACTCCTAACAAAGTAAAAGTCTAAAAGTGAACTTGGCTCAGTTGATTTCACTGCTGAGGCAGACACAATGGCAAAATACAACCTTAAGTACAAAAACTGGCTTTTTTAGTAGTATAGCATGTGATTGGAATTTGTATCCAGGTAAGCATGTAATTATAGACAAGTATAATTTTAGAAGAGACTGGCATTTGTAAAAGAAATTGCATGGTTTGCAGGGGAACGTATACCACCGTCGTGATTTAAAGTGGACAATTTATATGCAGTGGCTGTGGTTGACTTCCAAAGTGTAACTTGATTCCCTTCTCCAGCCACGCTGCTTTCATGGGGATGGCAAAGTGAGATTAGCAGGAGGAAAGCTTCAAAAGTGAGACCTATTATTGATACCACCTTTTTTTTTTTTTAGCACAAGTGAGTCTGAGCACTGAGGTCTGGAAAAACTTTGCGTGATGGTCACTTTGGTCGCGCTGCCAGAGAGCACTCCAGCCCTAAAGCACTAGTGGCGGATCTCTGTGCTGACTTGCTGCCACCTGCTGCTCATTCTTTGGAAAGAGCCCACTTTGTTAACAGCAGCATTCATACAATCACTGCCAGACTGACTGCGGGATTGTTCCACAAAAAGGTTGCTGTGGCCCCTGCCCTCCAGTTAACATTTCCAAATACTCTTGGTGCTCTCTCCTTGTGTGGTCTCTGAACGATGCTTTGAATCTAAGTTTTTCCAAATTACTAGTAAGAATGCCTGTCTTATTCCTCGTGCCCCAAGTTTGAAGAGACCTGATTTTCCCAGGGTGGATAGAAAAGTTAAACTTCAATTACTAGAAATTAGTGATGACCTTTGTAGCCGGAACAAGAACAGAATTGCACTTTCTGTCTTGTCTAAAGAAAGTATTTGCAATTGTATATCAGATCTCCCACAATATTTACTATTTTACTCCAGCTGCTGAAGCTGTATGAATATAAGGGAATCTCAGCTACTATTTGTAAAGATAGGCTTGGGGTCTTAATATGCTAAAGAAATACAGGAAATCTGAAGCCTGGATCTACAAAAGAAGCAAAATATATTCTTCTATAAAAGTTTCTGTCATTCAAGAAAAGCTCGTGAATATTCAGGCCTTGACTTGTCCTTTGGACACTCGTAATTATTAGTAACCACAAAAATAGGAGACTTTTTAGATATTACTCTGGATCTTTCTCTATTTACAGAGAAGCGGTTCTTCAGGCGTTCAAAATCGGGTGACATCCTCGCCAAGAACCCTGTGGTGCGATCAAAAAGCTACAACAATCCACTGCTGACGCCAGTGGCCGAGTATGAAACCGAGGGCATGGCTGCCAATGGAACAGGCATCCGAAGGCACTCCGTTTCAGAAATGACCTCCTGCCTGGAGCTCCAGGGGTACTCCAACCTCACCACCATCATGGACAACGGTTCCAAGAGCTCCATGACAACCACGAAAAGCTCGCTGTCAGGAGACCAGGAGAGGCCAAGCACCGGCTCAGTGCAATGCTCGAGCAAACTCAGCACAGTTGAGCAACAGAAAGGACTCTTCCACTCGATGGACGACCCTCATAGGTCTTTTGAGCTGGACAGGGACCCTTCCTTGATTCCAGTTCCCTCTTCCAGCCCTGAGAACATAGTGGATCAGATTTTGGAGTCGATCGACTCTGATTCTGAAGGCATTTTTATTGATTTTGGCCGAGGCTGTTCCAATTCATCAGCGTACAACGTGGACGTGAACAGACAGAGCATCATGTGAAGGACATTGGGAGACAAACCTTGGATTTTAATATTATATGTGAAAGTTACTAATGCATTGAGTCAGATTTACGGGCAAGCTATATATGTCTAGGGCAGAACCTCTGCTGTAGGTCATCACAGCTGTACTGAAGTACACGAACACAAGTTTGCAGTAGGTAGGAATCTGCTGCAAAGGGGAAGAAACTCCAGCCACTTCTCCCTGTCCCTGTCACTCTGCAGCCAGATTTCCTGTTGTCCTTATAAACTTAGGGGTTCACAAGCTGACAGGTGTCTGGCAGAATGCTGTTAGTGCAGCTGGCACTGTTCCTTCAGTAAAACAGCCTGGCAAACAGCTGCGTTCACTTTTAATTTTCTCAAGAGATTTCCTGTAGACAGCAGGTTGTTCTCTGAACTGTAACACCTCAGCCAGAGTGAGAACGTATCCTTTTTTTTTTTTAAAAAAAAAAAAAGACCAAAAAACCCCAAAAGCTGTGGGCCTTTGGGCCACAGAATACAGTGATAAAGAAGTCTTTTAATCTTTTTCTTGTACATCTTGTATGCACTTCTTTGCCTAATGGTGAGTTAGAGTTCTTGAGGAAAGGCAAATAAAACAGAAGTGTGCTACCTGATGTCAGGCGATGCCTCATGTCTCGTGTTCTGTTTCACAGCCAGTACCTTGTATCTGTGAGAGAGTTGTCTTGAAACTGGCTTTTAAGGCCATGTTAATCTGCTTTGAACGTGGCACTTCCAAGAAATCTGTGCAGTGTTGACTCCTGGAGCATCCATTGTATGGAGAGATTCCAGCAGAATTCAACTTACTCATTTCCTAAATAAATAAAAATACAGCCTCTCGGTGGAAATCCTCATTATATATTTATATTCTTGAAAAATACAATAATGGATGTATTGTCAATTATGTATTGATATTTGGGGAGCGTGAACCTTGCAGCTCTTCTCATCCTGAGCACTCCCAGCTCTTTGATTCTCCCTCGCAGTAACATGGTGTTGTAAGAGCTGTGTCAGTAGTGTTACAGAGGATTGATGCACATGATACTAAGGTGAAGTAGAAATCCTGATGCATGATAGATTTTTTGATCAGGTTGTTTTACAGTGAAGAAACAGCTGCTTCAGGTTCTGGAGGAGAGAGTCAGTTGGTAACTCCTGAGCGGCTCAGCAGAGACCGGTCATCAGTTCAGTCTGGCAGCACCTGGCATTTAGCTCAGATGTTCAAGGACTCTTCAGCACCACTCTGCACTTGCACTGCTGACCCCAGCATTCACCAAACTCTTCCCAAGGTTTTGATTACATTTCTAGACTCAAGGCCCCACTTCTGATACTTAATTTCCTTTGGCCTCACCACTTGATCTTTTGGAAACTGTTAGCCACTGCCCTGCTTCACCGCTGGAGATTTCAGCTTCCAGGTAGATGTGCAGGCTCCCCATAACACAGAGATTTGAGAACCTCAGAAGCCAGCTGAGGAAGGAGCCCCATAAATGAGGCAGGGGGTTGGTGTCTGTTTTGCTTCTTTTTGTTTGGCGTGTTCAGCTGTGCAGCCTCCCCTATAAGCAGGCGCATAAGTTAGGTCATACCTAAAAGTTTCTTTTACACAGAGATAAATAATTGCTTCTGTGTCCCAACAGTCTCAAACCTAACAGCCAGGGAGCACACCTGGATGGGACCACCCGATGTGGGGTAGAGTCAGTGCAGAGGGACTTAAGACCAATTTGCAGAAACGCAAGGGCAGCAGAACATACCCTCAGCACAAGCAACCCTGGTGCCTGGGGGGATCTTTGAGGTCCAGTAAGTGAAACGGCCTAAGATGCAGGCGCCTAACCAGCCCTCTGGGTGTGCAACTAAAAGTTGCAGATTATCAAGTCACCCATTTGGCCACTTCCTGGTGATGGCGATGCTTGTGCAGTGCTGCCTATGTGCCCCGCGGCACACCCGGGAGTACTCCACTCCCCACGGGGCTGAGTATGTTGGCAGCTTGCTCACATCTGAGGTTTATCAGGTTCCTACCAACTGGTCGGTGCCACCAAGGGGTGTTTGCCCACCCTTTCCTAGCTCGGGGGCATGGTGAGCCCACAGTCTCAAAGCACATTTAATGCCACACTTGGCCCGGCGCAAACCACAGGGGAGAGAGGAGATCTCACTGAACTTGGATCCAATATGTGACAGGATCAGCGATTTCCAAAACTGTCCTAAAGTGGTTGTTACAAGCCCCCATGCTGGCGCCCTCAGCTTCCACCCTCGTTCTTTCTGGCAAACGCTGTTCTGTTTCCTGAATTATTGTTAAGGTTGGAGAAAAAGATTATCCACAGCCTTGTTCTAAGAACACAGTGCGGGGGAGAAGAAGATACATTCAAACCCCTTCAAGAAAATTTTTTAAATATGGTAGATCAAGGCCTCTGCACACCTTCTTCCTTTAGGGAACATTAAATGTAATAAGAATCGTAAGCTTACTTAATTACTGGGGAATATTTAAGCACAGTTTCAACTAGAAAAAGGGACTGCTAGGACCCTTCCCACCTGGTGTGGTGGCGAACTAACCTCTTCCACTTTGCATGCATGGAGCTAGTGAATGCAAATCCTCTTCTGGCTGTTTTTAAAGGCTGTTTTAGGCTGTATTTTAAAGGCTGTTTAAAGGCTACCTCAGAAAATCTCAGAGAGAAGCAGGATTTAGGAAACAGTCTTGTCTTCGGTGTTTCCTCTTGGGCAAGGCAGGCAGCCTGGCACCTCTTCTAAAAGCCTGTTCTTGGACACTTTGCCTTCTCACATGTGCTGTGTGGGGAACTGGCTACCCTGGAGCATTGTAGCATTGCAGCCCAGCACTTCCAATCTAGCTTTTACATTTCCCTTTACACTTAAAATGGGCTCCTTAAGGTCAAATCTCTAGCAGCAGAAAGATCTAATGTAGGCTTTCATGAGCAGCATGTAGACCCTTCAGGAGATACAGACCAAGGCCCGTTCACCAGCACCACATTGAAGGAAGGGCAGAAAAGCAAAGCAAAACCCAGCCCAGCCCTGCCCCCAAAACTGTGATTACCAGCTATGATAGCGTTGAATGAGTATTTAAGGAAGTTGTGGTTAGCCCTGGTGGGATTCAGTACTTGTTAGGTGTTGAGATGATTTGTGAGTGCTGCCAAGCTGAAGGGCTTATGCTGATCCTTTTTGGGATAAAGAGGCTCTCAATTGTCTTTAGTTAAATAAGTTAACCTGATAATGCTGTAATGGAACAGGCTGAGCTCTGCTATTGTGGTTTAGAGCTTGCTGACCTAAACTTGCCTCTCTGCTAGCAAATGTGGTATTCACAAGAGTGTTTTGTTTGCTATGCTAAAGCTTTTCTACTGGGGTGATGGCTAAAGAAGGAGCAAATGCATTCTGACTTTGAGGGTTCAGTTTCAGGGCTATTTTTTGATTAAAGAAAGCATCATGAACTCAGCAGGCTTGCTATGAAGAGCCTGAAAATCTGGTGAGGGTTAAGATCGCTACTGCAATGGTGATAGGGTGGTATTTTGTCTCTCCTTCAAGTTTATGTTAAAATGTGCAGGCAGATATGACGGTAAACTGAAAAACTAGGTGTGGTGGTCTAGCTAATTCCTATGAAAGCCACCACCTCTGTGGTCCTCAGAGATTAAGTTTCTAATTCACTCATTCCCCAAGAAGTAGCATAGAATCATATAATATTTTGGGTTGGAAGGGACCTTGAAAAGCCATCTAGTCCAACCCCCTGCGGTGAGCAGGGACACCTTTAGATAGATCAGGCTGCTCAGAGCCCTGTCCAGCCTGATCTTGGATGTTCCCAGGGATGGAGCACCTACCACCTCTCTGGGCAACCTGTGCCAGTGTTTCAGCACCCTCATTGTAAAAAATTTCTTCCTTGTATCTAGTCTAAATCTACCCTTTTTTAGTTTAAAACCATTCCTCCTTGTCCTACTGCAACAGGCCTTGCTAAAAAGATTGCCCCCACCTTTCCTGCAGGCCCCCCTTAAGTACTGAAAGGCTGCAGTAAGGTCTCCCCAGAGCCTTCTGTTCTCCAGGCTGAGCAACTCTAACTCTCTCAGCCTGTCCTCACAGGGGAGGTGCTCCAGCCCCCTGATCATTTTTGTGGCCCTCCTCTGGACTTGCTCCACCAGGTCCATGTCTGTCTTGTGCTGAGGACTCCAGAGCTGGACACAGTACTGGGGCATGACTGGGGGCACTGTGTACTCTGCAGAAAGATATAGGTGGAGCTACGCTCTAGCTCTGTACTTTGAGCCTTTGTGCAGGTCTGGTTTGTAGTTGCAAGACCATTTGTGTGAATGTGCAAGGTGCAGAGGGGCACGGGGTCAGACATAGCTGTGGGAGTACAGACCACGCGAGTGATGCTGCGCCAGGTGTGTGCAGGCAAAGCCCAGTGTTCAGTGGCTTTAAATGCTGCGCAGATGTGAGACTACCCTAATTTGTGATCCTTCTACTAGTAATCCTAATGCAGATGAGTCAGGGATGTGGTCTTCTTAGAGACAAATCGTGGAGTCATTACAAAGGAAAAATGCGTATCAAAGAGAATAGTGCGGGTTCTTGCCGAAGTATATTTATGAAGTGATGCTTTTAGCTTTCAAATGCTGCTAAATGGCAGTGTCCCAGTGCACCAGTGGTACTCAAGCTTTGTCCCTAAGGGGGCATTCTCAGTATGCCAGTTATTCCTCTCCACCCTTCCTTTGTTATGTTAAACTGTGGCATTTGATATCCTAATCCAAAAATCAAAAGCTTTTTTTTTCCCTGGTTGGGATGGGTTCCAAAACCTTATGAGGGATAATACAAAGCTGCAGATAGCACTTAAAGCTCTTGTCATCTGGCACTGCAGGGCGAACATTATGCAAGCAAAAGGAACTGGGAGACTGACCTAATGAACAGCTGCTGAGCTCTGTGGAGAAGTAATACAGCTCCCTGGGGCACAAGTGGAAATAGCAGAATAATTGGCTGCAAATAATGCTGCCCAAATAGAGGGCGCTTTTTTTTTTTTTTTTTTTGGTAGAAATGAGGAAAATTACTTTCCATTATTCAATTAGCTCCTGGCAAGCTGTTTTTGATAGTGCTTTTGACTAAAATGCACTTGCTGACCATCAGAACCACTCAGCTATGGTGACAGAAGAGCTATGGGGCACCTTCTTCTAGGGTCACCATACAGACCTGTGAGCATATGAAAATCTCTCTAAAGTGCTGGTTAGAGATTTATGGATTGCCCCTTTACTAGGATAATATGCTGTAAGAATGTCTTGGAAATAAAAGTGTCAGAAAGCCCTTACTATTATTTTTGAGCTCTGGTCTGCAAAGTTGTGACTGTCATTCCAGAACTTTTCTCCAAGTACCAAAATCTGGAGGCAGGGAGGAGAAACCCAGATCTCAGTCAAGCTGGCAGTGCTGCAGTTAACATGTAGCCATTTTAATAATACATAAATCCTTGCTTCCATGCTCTCCAGGACAATAAAATGCTTGGTTTGCAATTGAAGTCTTGTTTGCACCTTTCCATTAAGGAAAACGTACACTTCTAAAAGGAGAATAAATATATTTTGCCTCAAAGAGCCTTCTAACATCCCTTTCTTCTCATGTAGTGTGGTAGCAACAGCAGCAGATTGCTGTGCTC